CCCCCCCCCCGGGGGGGCGCAGACGATTTGAGATCTAGAATTTTCGGAACATTTGTCGTAAAACTTCTTGCTTGCCTGCCTCTCCTAGGATTTTCGAACATCTAAAAAATGGTATAATTGCCCATTTTTAACGGATTCTTACCCTGAAAGGTCACCTAGAATTTTCGGGAGCCTTTTTTCTGGCTCAAATTTTCGAAAAGGTAAGTTTTGATTCCTATAATTTTCGGATCACTGGACTTTCAGCTAAGAAATCCGACCAGATGAAAAATTTTTAGGGGATAAAAATATGCCTATATCTACCGTTTAGATACTAAAATACGTTCAACAATGCTATGTTTAAGTGGTTTTGAACTATGTTCTCGTTGGGTGCCCCTGTCAGATTGACAGGCAAACGTTTCGTCAAATCTTAACAATTACTAATCGACACGGTGACACACCTGCAAGAAGCCATATATGGATGCTGATCAATATTCGAACCTTCTCAGCCGAAATGACCTCAGTGCTCCCTCAGAGACATTCGTCTTCACATCCGTGATGCAGTGGATGAAACACAAGAAGGAAAAGAGAATGACAGTCGCGTTACATGTACTTACTTTTTGTGTTTTAGGTTCTTGTTGCACTTCTTCCTCGTCGGTCTTAGATGTAGTTCTTTGACTTCCGATCCACAACGTGGAAACCTTTGCCTTCAATGGCACAGTTTTCTGAGGCAACGGGCATGCTTTTGTGCCGAATATGTTGGTAATTAAGTGTATGTAGCAGCAAAACGAGGGAATGCTTTTGTAAATTATTGTTATCACTTAGTTAATAGGTCATGGGAGACACTCCCATCTTTTGCTGGCTTAGCTAATCGAATCAGTAGTTTGTGCAGCGTTGACGACCATTTATACGCTATGCACCATTCTAAGACACCTTACAGATATCATATTTCTACAAATCAGTGGCAATATGTAGCTAACTTAAGGGCTCCAAGTAACATGCCAGAGAGTTCATTTTGCAACAAAGCATGCAGCACTATTAGTATATAAATCTCGGGTGTACGTACTTCGTGGACGAGGAGTAAGACGTTGTTGGGGAAGTAGAAGAAATGGATACTATTACCTCTGGGAAGCACAGGTAGCAAACGCATTTTGCTTTGATCAAAAGAGGAATATGTGGGAACAAAAGGTTTCAACAAGTACCAACCACTTTGGTTCCAGCCTCTTAGTAGTAAACAATTAACTCTATGTTGCTGGGGGAAAGTCCTCCAACAATAAATCTTATGCTGAACCATGTGGTAGATCAGGTTCTGTTGAAGTGTATGATGAGACAAACAACACTTGGTCTGTTGTAGACCAACCACACATTCCCCAAAATAACCTTGGAGCAGTAGAAATTGAGGGATTAGCGTATACGATTTCATTATCGACAGTTTTCTGGTAGACAGTGGAATTAGGATCCCACCAGGAGAGGTGTACCTTGTTTCTGTAGATAAGTGGGAAAATTTAGGTAAGGTGACCAAAGAATGCAGTTTTGTGTCTTGTGCTTGTTGTTTGTTATGGGGAAATATCGCTAGCCTGTTCTCAGCCTGGTATCATTTTCATGCTTTCTATTAGAGACAGGGATCCCCTTTTTCATGGTCAGTCATGCTACTCAAAGGTCTAGCTGACTGTAAAGCAAGGGCAGTGCCTTCCTCATGTCACAGAATCATAGTTTTGATCCTTGTATGACCATTGCAGCTCTTTATAAGTTGAATATTTCTAATTCATTTTTTTACTATAATTATGTTGTTACAGACCAGAAGATAGAATCAGACTAGAAAAAGTGGCTGATCAACTGTATGAAGAATCTGCTGTTCTGAAGCAGATCACTGAATTCTACAACCAGCAGATGCCTGAGAGAAATCACCAGTTATGTAAAGTGAACATTGAAAGGGAATCACTCTTAAATGCTGACCAGGAAACTTCTACAGCCTTGGAAGTACTCTTGAATTTGCCAAAATCAGTGCAGATGTGTTTTGCTGCACTTATCCAATACCTCCAAGACTTCAAACTGGAAAAGATTCTCAGATTAACAAGGTGCTCATGCAACTAATGCAATACGTTTTGTTGATTTTTTACAATGTGTCATGCAGCTTGCCTTGTACGCTTGACTGCTTGTAAGGCAAGCTACCTGTAAAATTAAATGTTACATGCGTCTTGCCTTGTTTATAACCTACTCCACATTGTGCAAAATTGTTGCACAAAAGTGGTCATGTACATGTATCACCAGCCTATTAACAATATATACGCATGATGGATGGATGGGGGTAAGGGGTTAATTGTAGCTGCAGGGTTCTCATATGGTTATGATTTGAAGCAGGCAGCTGGGATCTAAAAGTAGGTAGCTTGGCTGGCGATTGCTGAAGGAAATTTTGGGCTTTCACTCTCTTCCATAACCCTTCCCCAAAGAGAAGGCAGCTCAAAATTTGAAGTAGGCGGGTTTTTAGCTGTTTTCTAGCACTTAAAGAGAACTCTGGGGACAGGAAAGGGTGGGGCTGGTCATGTATGGGTTTTAAACGCCCTTAAAAAATGCCAATCCTGGCTTACTGACATGACTTTGATTTTGAAGTCAGGTTCTTTTATAACGTGATTATTATTTGTACGCTCAAAGTAGAAATTAGCATGAAGTCAATAACCCTTGGTCATGACAGACTCATGAGCCCCTCAAAGGGTGCCTGAAGTTTAGGTGCCTCCTCAAGTAACACATTCTCGAGAGAGGGGAGCTATGATCCTGGATCATGTCAAGTTTATTCATTTTTATTGAATATATTTCTTCTATCCTATATGCAATGTAACATGTATGTTTCCATATTCCAAATTTTATAGTAACATTTCCAAATTCTCCATTCAAAACAAGTTTCTCAAACTCAGTGGCCAAACTCTAAGGAACCTGGAAATATTTAAGAATCAGGTATGTACATGCAAGTTAACTGATGCGAGTAAAACCTAACATTTTGCTGACATCTGAAGTCCTAACATTCCTAAACAGACCTTTCCTTGACAAAAAGCAATCCTTGCGTAGAAGCTGTTGAAATTGTTGTTGTTGCTATTTAAGGGCTTGTCTTGAATTTGTTTTGGTTCTTTCTGATCTTAGACAAATGGAAGCGAAAAGTCTTCATTATTCTGGGTTATTAACCACACTGCAACTGCGTTTGGCCGAAGGCTGTTGAAGAAATGGATTTCAAGACCGCTTCGTACAGTCAGGTATCTTGTCATTTCTTGAGAATTTTTATTCCAGACATGGTTCAATTGATACAATTAAAATTTGAAGTAAACACTTGCACGTTCAGCTGCTGTCAAGCGCGAGTAAATGTACTCAGGAAAGTGTCTACTGGATTTGCTTTTCCTCTTAATTGGTCAAGAATCTCGCAAGAAATTTCTGAGCTTATTATAGCTGGAGTGCGTAATATACAAACGTAAAAAAAAAAGTCTTAAAGTTTCTGTCTTCACTCAACTTGAAAAGCGCTCTAACAAGTAATTACAACAAATGCGAATATTGTCGGGAAAGAAATAGGTGATGCTTAACTTGATTATTCTGTGATTAAATATTAATAAGCAATACATTTGTAGCGCAAAGAAGTTAGATTTCGTGACATTAGATTTCACAATAATGTAGACAAAGTCCGAGTATATTTACGATATAAAATGATGTAACTGCATGCATTTTCTTAGGCTAAATAAGGTGAAAGAACGTGCGATTTTGTAATAGACGCTTAATTTAGATACATTACAATGGGAACTTTACTGTACATGTGATTAATGTAAAAATACTGCCTTACGCAAGGATAGTAGAAAAACCACTTTATACTTAGAATGTTTTAGTTGATCGTTCATAGCTGATCGATTCGTTGATCGTTACATTGATCGTTGAGTTACGAACGTTGAGTATGTGAGAGTTGTACATCGCAGTAGATTGTTGGATTGGGTTAAATCGTGTTGTTACATCGAAAGATACAGTCCTCTTGATTTGTTTGAACCAGCGGAGCGGGGTTAAAAGAATTCCGCAACAAATATAATTGGTGCCTTTATTGAATGGATCTGAAAAGTAGCTTTGCGGTCTTTTTCCTTTTGTGCATGCTTTTTTTTGCGCGCTTGGCCCCGCCCGCGCAGATGATTCCTGATTTGTTAATTCGCGTAGGTTCTGTACCCCCCCTTTTGCGAGTTGTTACTTTTCCTTTGTTTTTACGAAAATAAATGGCAAAACCACTCAAAATAAAAACTATTGTTTGTTTACTTCACAAACCATTACTAGGTGTGTTTGAGGTTTGGAGTTTTTCTCGAAGTTACGGTTTTTCAATGATAAGTAGTTTAAACGCTTTTGGCTTTTATTGTTAGCGAGATTGAAGAGAGGTTGAGTGCGGTCACAGAATTGTGCAGCCCAAATGCATCATGTCTGTCGCATGTGAAGGGCTTCTTATCTCAGCTTCCTGATTTAGAGCGAGGTCTCTGCACCATCTTCCACAAAAAGGTTAGATTGAGAAAACATGTGCCCACTTCCTGCCAGGATCGCTGTTAATTCAGTTAGTCCACTATAGCTGCCCTCTACGTTTTTGTTAGTCTTTGAAAGATATTATTTGCTATGACCATTTTGATGATAGTCACTAAACATGCTTTGGTTCATGAAGTTTTTTGTTGTTGTTTTAGAGATCTTTGTTTTTAAAGGTGAATTTAGGTATGGTACATTCACTGTTAACATTACGTATTTAAACGAGAAGGTTACTACACTGGACTGTTGCAGCTTAAAACAGTTAATATTATATCACAAGCTATTTATAAACTCTGTAGCAACATAGATCAAAAATCCGGCACGTCGAGCGATATTAGCCCTTGGCTTGCAATTTTTTTTTTACATTTGAAATCTTCAACGTTTAGTCGCGAACTGAATGAAGTCAATGATTTCTTTTGTTTTTCTTAATTTCAGTGCACACCAGCAGAGTTTGTAACGATAACAAAATCACTCGTTAATCTGGCCAAACATCTTCAATCAAATCAGCAAGTTGCTACCACTAAACTAGAATCGCCGTTATTAAGAAGCATCTTCGCGGAGGTATATGGACTATTAATTTTTTATGTTTAATAAAACACGGCTGTTCCGAGATGATTCTCGTTTAAAAAGTAATGCTCTAAAAATGTTTTTAAGACATGAAATTTTCTGCAGTGATCCTATATGCAGTTTAATCGGTTTGCTGAAGACGCTACTTTTTTTGCGTTTTAGTACCGTAAACGTTTCTAATAAATAATATTTCTTACTTATTGATTAAGGCAAGTGTCAAGATTTTTTTTTTCAATGTTGCAGGTTCCAAATTACTTGAATGATGTTGGTGATTTCTTGAAGCTAGTAAATGAAAAGGCTGCTAAGTAATGAAAATTTGTTGTTGTTGTTGTTGTTGTTTCGTTTACTTACAGTGTATTGGATCGGTTCCAATTGCGTGTCGAAAGAAATGTTGCGATTGTTGTAGTTTCCCACCCCTACGTTTTCCAATTGACTCAAGTAAACATCACCCTTAGCCTCTTTTTCAAAGCAGCGAGTCCTGGTGCTCATCCTTTCGTATGAAAATAAGTCCTCACTAGAATACAATGTAAATGGCTGTGCACCAAACCTGGTTTTGAAAAAGAGACTTGATACGACTCGGAGATTAGCTGTTAAACCACACCGTTCCATCGTTAAAGTTGCTATCGTGAATTGATTTTGTGAGTTCAGACTGGGAGATACGAAACACTCGATATAGTGATTGATTGTTCTTATTTATTAAACCATCGACTTTCGTTTGTGATAGGGAAGGTGACAAAACTAGATTGTTTGATGATCTGACACAGTTCCCTGAAATCATGAAATGCAATCTGGTAAGGCCTTGACAGAATATGTAGAATGCGTCATAATTTTTTTCTTCTTTGTTTTTTCCACACTACAGCGATCCAAGAATTCTCCTGTTTCCATTAACTTAAAGCGCGCGCGTAAAGGACAACGAGAAGGTAAACTGAGCAAGGAGAGACGCTCTTCGTCAGCTGGTTTCCTTCTCACTCTAGTGCGATGCGCTTCACTCGTTTCCAGTCTCAAAAAAATGATGTGTTTCGCTTCATCTGCGCAATCTCCTTTTCACTGGCTGAAAGCCCACCACTTGACCGGCAAATAACTGCCTACAGATGATGTTCTGCTCATGCGCACTCGTCCACTAACTTAGACTGCAAAACAGTCCGTATTTTTGCGTATTCAAGTACGCGCGAGCAGTCAAACAAAAGGTCTGGAATGAGGCTGAAAACAGAGAGCGAGACTAGGGAGAGACGCTAAAAATACGGACTGTTCGTTTTGCATACGTTATATTCGTTCGAATTACCCGCTTCTCCCAGCCACGGGCAATTCCCATTGGCTAAATTTCGATGCAAGCTGTCACCAAGCTGTCAAGTAATGTTTTCAACATGTCATTCACGTTGTTCCATACCGTGATGAATTGCTAAAGCTTCGCTGTAAAATGACAGATGTTGATCGCCTGGATTTGCTCGCAAGAATTGGGATTTGTTTTAAAATCGGAGCAGAGGGAAGCTTTGGAGTTGCTACTCAGGGGAAAGGATATTTTCTGTGTTCTACAAACAGGATTTGACAAAAGTCTTATTTATCGGATGTTTGTTCATGCAAAGAGTTCTTCAAGTTCCGTGCAACGGCCGACCGTCATTGTTATCTCGCCTGGCTAGAAAAGCGGGATCGGTAGGAAACACACGACTTTTACCTCATGCAAACATGCCCGCTTGTTCCAATGAATTGTTTTCTCTGTCGAGTAGATTATGCTTTGGAGGAAAACGTTTTGACTGAGCAAATTAGAATTTTGGCCGCTTATTAAATATATTTCATACTGAGAGGTCGTGACACGCATACTGATTTTCTCTGGTAGGCATGATTTGCCCTCTGACGCAAGAGCATTTTCTTTCTTGGCCCCTTTAGAAATGTAAAGCTCTTCATTGCGGCTGATTAAGTGTTTTAGGTTGTTTTATTTCTCCAAAGTGCCTCCTGGATTTGAATAATTTTAAGCGATTTTCTTTGTGTCCGTGAATAGGTGGTTTTCATGCAATCTCGGGAGACACAAATAACAATGGTGAAATGAACAAATGCTGGTGGACAAACAAAGCGAGCTAATGAGCGATCTTTTGTTTACCGTCCACCAGCATGGCGGCGATGACGTAACGTGAAAACCACCTATGAGTGACTTTTTCCTGCAATGTTTTGTCACGCTGGGCCCAGCTCGTTAGCGTTTTTGGCAGGATTTTAAATTCTCACAGATAGTAATTTACAGAGCTAAATCACCAAGACGTGGTTTGGAATTAGGAGATTTACTCATTCTTTTCAATCGCAATAATTGTTCATTGTCAGTTGGCGTGTTCAGTTCTTCTCTAATTTGCGAAAGCATCGCCGTGCAGTTTCCCGGGGCAATTTCTAACCGTTGTTCCGCACGGAGAGCAAACTGCTCTTGTAGAGAAAGATTCTCCTTCCTCGAGGACAACGAAAAGTTCGTTTTTCAGTAGGTCGGCCCACTTAGGTAACGTTTCCCCTTTTCTGGTAGACGCAACAAACGCATTTTCCGAGCTTATCCATCCATTCGTAAAATTGCCGAACTGTGTTTTGAAACAACAGCCGCACATTCTACAATTTGTCCAAGGCCCTCGGCTCTTTCGGCTTTCTCCCTCTTCGAGGAGCAGGCACAGGCTTTGTTGTCGTACTGCCACTTTCACTCATTTTTGATCCTCCACTATATATACTACATTTCACTATATACACTACATTTCACAGGGAAGCAACGCTAAAAAATGCTTTAGAATTACTGGATTACAGCGTCAATAATAACACGCGAGTCTATCAAATTCACAAAGAGGGCGGAGTTGCGAACAGATTTTTGACAGCTCGACGACATTTTTGAACCCCCTGGTCGGAACGAACTCATTGTATGGAAAACGGACAGTCGGTTTTTTTTCTCTCGCCTCACACGCCCTACGGGCGTGTGAGGCTTGCGCGCTTCGCGCGCGTAAGACTCTTACGCCACGCTTTACCGATTTCTTTACTGATTTTGAGAAAAAAACCGATTGTTTTGCAGTCTACCACTAACTGAGTTTGGCTGCAAATAATATTCTGCTTATGCGTACATGAAGCCACGCTTTTCTCCTTCTTTCGAGCGCTCTTGCGTGAAAATGGCAGATCGCTTCGCTTAAAGAAGATATTCATTAAAAACAAACTCG